TCCTTGATCTCGAAGAAGACTACTACCCCGATACTGGCTACCCGATTGTCGGACTCAAGCGCTCACCACACTACTTCCACTCTGGCTACATTGACCTAATCTTATCAGGATTAGTGGGCATCCGACCTTCCGCAGACGATGTCTTGGTCGTCAATCCACTCCTCGACGACTCCATTTCACACTTCCGCGCAGAGCGCATCATCTACCACGGCCACGAGGTAACTGTACAATGGGACACAGATGGCTCGCAGTACGGCACGGCCGGCCTACAAGTCGAGGTCGATGGCAAAGTCGCTGCTTCATCTCCAACAATTACTCGCCTAAGAATTCCTCTGACCCGTCAAAATCCAGCAGCAATTGAGCGGCGCATTGCGAAGTCTGTTCAGCTCAACAGCACGACCGCGTATCCGCGCGGCAAGGTCTCGGTGCCAGGCTTCAACTCCAGCATGCTTTACCCCGCTATTGATGGACGGATCTGGTTCTTCCCTGAGGTTGATGTCGCCAATGGGTGGAGCACGCCTGTTGGCAACGGCACGGAGATGTGGTATGAGATTGACTTCGGAAACAGCACTGCCACGAGCGCAGCGGATCTTGCGTTCTTCGCAATTGAAGAGCAGGGGTTTGATGTGCCTGAGACGTACAAGATACAGGTAATGGCTGGCGACTCGTGGATAGATGCTAACGGGGCGAAATATGGGAAGAGTGTAGCTAATGGCATTACGGAAGCGGAGTGGAAGGAGGCGACGAGTGAGAAGGTTAGGCTTGTTTTCATGCCAAAGACGGGTATGCGGACGAGGCTGGTGGAGTTTAAGGTCTATTAGAAGAACACTGGAAGAATACAATGAGCGTAGCTGATGACTACTTCGTACGGCTTAAGCCGGCTCACTTAGCGTGATCATACAGTATCAAATCCCAATACCATTGCTAGCCCGGCTGCACCATCGCATCAAACATTGGAGATTCAATCTGGTGTGCTTTCATATTGCACCATGTATCAGCCTCAAGGGTCGCTTTGTGAAAAGAACACTCGCAGTGATTCTGGTTCGAGATATTAGATTACCGCGCATGTTGTTCGTTGCTTTCGTGACGTACCCTGGGTTCCATGCTCGAAGCAATCATGATGACTCTGGGCCGCGCAGAACAAGCGTTGGTCGCCTACGCTTCGTCTGTGGAGCAACGATTGCCATCCCGCCTGTATTCTCATCTTCTTCATAGTCGGCCTGCGGCTGTCTTGCCCTCTTCTTCGCGGGCCCAGACAGTTGCCGTCCCAAGACAACTTGATCGGCGCCTCCACTACCTTCGTCCTCGTCACCCTCGCTCCCAGCGCTCGCGGCCAAACTGTCCACTCCGTCTTCCTTCAGGTCAATGTTTTCGAACATGTTGCTGCCCGTCCGTGGCATCGCCGTATCGAAAGGATGCCGCTCCTTGCTTGGCACGTACCGTGACGAGATAGATCCATCGCTGCGACACGGCACAGCGGTGCACTTGTATGCGATATAGCATTTCCTGTACTTCTTATGCTTTTCGCGCGTCTTGGCTTCTGCCTCTCGAAACACGGAGCGTTGCTCTTCTGCGTCCGACGACGACACGTCGAGGAGTATCTTGCTTTCGAACTCGGTCTCGACACACGCGTCGCAGTAGAAATCTTTGCCACCGCCGAGAGCCTCGACTAGAACACTGCTCTTAATCTTCAGGGTCCTGCCTTGCTTCAACAAGAGGTGGTGGCAATTGGGCGCGCATGGTTCGTTAGGTGTTTCGGTATTGATCATGTGTCCGCAGATCAAGATATGCTCGGAAGCCATGGCCGGGTTGAGGCACGAGTTGTTCTTATCCGTGACCTCCTTGATCTGTGGATAGGAAATGGTCTCGCGCATCGTTCGTCGTGGCTTGCAAATGGAAGTAGATTTCCTCGCCATCGCACGAGTTGCAGCAATTTTGGTGGTGATATCGGCAAGATTATCCAGGCGCTCTATCAGTCTTAAAATGGCAGGCACGTTGGTTTCCGACATGGTGAGACCGCAGAAGCTGGTACTTGTGGCTTAACTTGAGCACGTGCTTCGAAGTGAAAGGGAAGGTGCGTGCTGATGCTGTGACTTCAAGATAAAACACAATCAGGAGTTACAGCAAAATGCAAGATAGGAAGTGAGTGACGCCTACTTCTAGAATAGGAAGTGTCTAAGCTACGATCCGAATTTTATGTGAGGATGCATTGTTCCGTGGTTGCATCGCAACTCATGCCATGGTAGTGCAAAATCCCATGGTAGCATACAACCTAGCACCATGAATTATAGCACCCTCAGCGCTACTTTGACTTCGCCAGGTCAGCCAACATCTCCTTGGCGGGCATTGTGGCGAATCTGCTCATGACTTCCAAGTTCTTCTCCTTGCTCATTTTTGTGTCGCTCTTGCTCAACTCTGCCAAGATCTTGAAGTAGTCAATGTAGAATGCTGGCGTAAACGTGATGAAAACCCTGGATTCCTGATCGGTGGGATTCGAAAACGTATGCGGCGCACGAATGGGAGCAGTAACATAGTCATTTAGATGCGCATCATGGCATACCCCGTCAGCTGCGTGGAAACGAATTACGCCTGCAGTCACCAGGAAAGTCTCTTCGTGCATCTCGTGCCAGTGAGCAGGTGGGCCGGCGGTGTTTGGCGGTAAAGTGAACTCTGCAGAGCCCAAGCGGTTGTCTGAAGAGAATCAGTACCTGGGGCGTTCAGAACTGTAGGTATTCTTGTGTCATACCCGTTCTAGATCCATCCTCCAAGATTCTGCAGGTTATGTGGCCCAGTTTCAGGATCTCTCCAGACTTTGCTGAGACGAAATTGACAGGCCGCCGCGGCATATCCATCGAAGCAAGCGCTTTTTGTGCATCATCGTCCATGTTGATCTTGGATTGAGGCTGATTTAGTGATATAGGATTTACGTTAATAAACAAAACTCTTCTTGATGAACAGAGTCCAACCTTGCTCGACGGGGGAAAAGTTCAGAATCGGGAAGTTCAAATACTGAAAAGTACTGAAGAGCTACCCCAGAAGTTGAGAAGTGGTTGTGATTCGATTACTTATACCTCCCGGGCTCGTGGTAAGATTGCGGAGAGCCGGTGCTAATGTGGGACAGGCTTGGAGAGCCAACTCACTTGCAGAATTCCGCGACGTACAACAACACAAAGACGGCGCGATATCAGACACTCTCAAATTCGATGAGGCCAGGATGGAATGGAGGCAACCCTTGATTAGTACCGGTAGCAATACAACATGCCATTCGAGCTGACACCCCGCATCCGAAAGCGGACTAACTTAGCGCGGGGATCATCATGCAAAGGGAAGGCGCGCCCTTCGCTGTCACCGCAACACACCATTCGTGGGTACCTGCATTAGCGAGTGAGGGAGCTGCCTGGCATGTTGCGTCTTGACGCGTCTGGCTGCTGCCTACAAAACGCGCTACCATAAGTTGTCGTCGCTGGTCACAACTCTGCATCGCTTCAACCGAACAAGAACTATACTGAAATTAACCCTTCAAGGAACTCCCAAGATGTCAACCACCGACAAGAAGCTCTGGTCGATGCTGGAGAACAATCCTGAGGTCATGAATCACCTTGCTCGATCTCTCGGCTTAGACGAGAAGCTGTCTTTTTACGACATTTACTCCCTTACTGATACCGACCTTCTTGCGTTCATCCCACGTCCAGTCTACGCTCTGCTTGTGATCATTCCACTTACACCAACCTGGCATGAGGCTCGTCAAGCTGAAGACAGGGAAAAAGGCGAGTACGAAGGCAAAGGCCCGGAGGAACCTGTAATTTGGTTCAAGCAGACCATCGGCAACGCTTGCGGTAGCATCGGACTGGTGCACAGCCTTCTCAACAGCGGTGCGGCGGATCACATCAAGCCAGGTTCAGTTTTGGATCAAATCGGCAAAGATGCACTGCCAAAGTCTATGTGGGAGCGTGCCAAGGTCCTCGAGGATTCGGACGGATTTGAGAAGGCGCACGTGGAGGCTGCCCAGCTGGGAGATACTGCTACGCCTACGCCGAAGTCGAAGGAGCATTCAGGCCAGCACTTCGTTGCATTTACGAAAGCAAAAGACGGACATTTGTGGGAGCTCGAAGGAGATCGCAAAGGCCCACTAGACAGGGGCGCGCTAAAGGACGATGAGGACGTGCTGAGTGCAGCTGCGGTGGAGTTGGGGCTGGGTCGTTTGATGAGGATTGAGTCGGAGAAGGGTGGTGATTTGCGGTTCTCTGCTATTGCTCTGGCGAAGAGCTTGGACTGAGTACATTGAGAAATTATGAGGGCGAATTGTGTTCGTGACGATACTGGCGGGTTGGATCGCAGCTGCGCGAAAAGACAGAAAAGCTTCGATAAATGGTTGTTGGTGGCAGTTTTCAATTGGTGAAGTGTATGTGGATCAAACATAAACACAAATTACTTCTGCACAGATGCACTGAGGTCCGCCTGCATATACTAGATCGTGTCATTCATTTCAAGTGGTCCCGACGCGACAAGGAAGATTTAAAGCTTGCTTGGTATCCTGGGTGATACTTAGCGAGGGCAAAGAGTTTCTTGTGCCATACATATATACTCAGTATAACAATTTGGTTCATGTCGTTCACTGTGATCGAGGTGACATGTTAAATATGTGCATCCAGAATTCCCATCAAAGCCGTGGCAGCTCGTAACATCAAATGCAGAATTTGATGTATGTAGTACCAGCCACTTGGACATAAGCTACAGCGCACCTTGGGATAGGCCTGATCGGACCGGGCAGTCTTACCAAATTTTCGCTCTGGTGGGGCAGAAGTTATCGGTCTCTGATCGGCCCAGCTAAAGACGAATTGCCCCTCATGATTGGCGGCTCGTGCACGCGGTACCCCACTTTCGAAACAGGGCTTTGTAAATGTTCACAGCTCAGTGAGCATTGGCTATTAGAAACGGTCGCTTTCACCATACAGAATATATATCAGCTAATTTGTAATTCTTCCATCAAAGCAATAGTAGGAGTCTTGGCGCAATGGTAGCGCGTTGGTTTTCGGTTTGAAAACATGTTCACCAAAGGTTGAGGGATCGAGACCGTAAGTTGACACAGCATCTCAATTCAAAGATCCTGTTCTAACAATTACCCAGCTTGGACTTCGTACAAAGCACTTTCCTTTTTGCTCTTTTTTCTCTGTCGCCTCGGTTTTGCGCTGATGTCTTTTTGGTAAAGGTTATGGGTGGTGCAGATACCAGATCATGCAAAGGTCTTTTCCCGACTTTAGGCCAGGGCGTGTCTCGTGCACATTTAGGTTGCTCTACACAACTATTGATGGAACGAGTGGTAGTGCACAGGTCAAAGTCATGTCCTCTAGCCCTTGCAATATTGGCTGAAGGCATAGTCCTTCGTCACAGTGGGACAGCTAGATTCGAGGCGGAGGTGAGACTATATTCAGTCATGGATCTTGGAGCGAGCTTAAAAGAGATGAGGAGAGGCAACCCCTGCTACAAGACTCGCGCTCATGATTTTACAGCATACACTGCTTTATTGACATCTTCGACTCGCTACCAGTAGCTCGCCTACCATACAAAAGGGTCATCAAACCTCACTAAAACTCATCTGGGCATCATCAGAGACTCGAGTAGGGTGTCTGAAGGAAATTTAAAGTTCAGCCGACTTCCAAGTATGGATTAGACAATGGACGCGTGTTACGCGTGTTTCGCGCGTTTCGACTTGCGGAGTTGCTGTCTAATCACCACTAGCCGGAAATTTCTCGCCCGAACCAAAACCCGGCACCTGTACGAGCGTCGCAACCTTCCTTCATCGTCATCCCCCTGAGATTAAGCATTGTCTCCACCTTTCGCCAAGACTGTTCTATCAATATATTTTCTCCCCACATCTCGCGTCGCGAACGTCACGCAAGTTGGCCGGTGTGTCTTCCTGCTCACCGCGAAAGGATGAAGATCGACGTGCTATGTTGCGAGTGCCAAAGATTACAGAGCCATGATTACTTGTTACGATCTCCATGCTACAAGTGCGCAAGGGACGACGGGGCAGTTCCCGACTATACTGGTGGCAGTTCGCTGCAACGGCTACAGCGCTTCCCCAATGGCTACGAGCAGCCATTTTCCACAACCCAGCTCAATATCAACCTCAACAGGATGAGTGTGAGTTCGCAGATTAACAGCGAAACGGTGACATATTGTTCGTCAACCTGGCCAGTTCAAACTCAATGCACGTGAGCTAATCTTCACACCAGTCAACTTGTACATGGCGTCAGACTTCGCACCAACTTCAAACGAAGACTTTCGACTCACCGACTGCATATTGCAAGAATTCGGCAAAATCAGCAAAACTCTTCTCACTTGCGTTGTAGCTACCCATAAGACCATCAGAGGATTGGGTAATAATGATGTCCTCATGTTCGAGCACCAAGGGATGGCAGCGCGTGAACTTAATTCCTTGATTCAGCAAACACAGCAGGTGCCATTGTATAGACAGATCATAGATGCCATGACCATGTTCATAGGTGTGCAGATCCAGCAAAGTGTCTATGGTCCCTGGCGTATCCACCTAGACGGCGCGAAGTCCATCCTCAATTCATGCCCGGAATCACTTTTAGCCTGCAATGAGGAAGATGTGCACTTTCTTGCCATCCTCGATGTCTATGGAACGACTACGACACCGCCCAAGCTCCTATCACCGGAAATGGTCGCCCACCATACCCTCTATCGACGCATGCTTGCTCATTTTAACGTCGACCCCTTGCAGACTCCCACGCCTATTCCAAACGAGATACTAGATGCGACCATCGCTATCAACATATACCGTATAGAACATCACACAGGACACCGTCATAGCCGGGACCAGCAGTCATCACTTGACGCCATTATCTCATCGCTCGAAGAATTCGATCCCCAAAAATGGGCTGCTGGTTTAGCTGCAGAATACCTGCCCAACTCCAAAAGCTTGGCAATACTGGCGACTTGCTACTCGTCTGCAACGTTGCTCTACCTTCTTCAGAGCTGCCGCATCCACTCTACCAGCAAATATGTTCGATGGAAGTCAGGTGTACGCCGGCAAACAGCTTATCGCGACCTGAAAAATGCAGTCACCACTTTGTTCAGAGACAGACTGCGGAATGGGACATACCACAAAACCATCTTCTGGCCCATAGTTATATGTGGCATCGAAGCCGCTGCACAAGGCAGTCGCGTAGACTTTCTATGTGAATATCTTGAGATAATAACTATGGAGTTGGGAGCCAACGGAATGCGAGAAGCAGCAGCTTTTCTCAAAGGGCTGGTTGAAATGCGACAGCAAAGAGGTGTCCCACATGGGGAAATGTTCGAATTTGACTGGAACGAGATTTTCGCGCTCGCCCCGATCTTCATCATGTAAAAGCCTCGAGGCTCGATTCGCATATTACATCACTGGCATTATCAGCATGAGGTCTCAAGGCATTCGTTCCTCCGATCGCTGAAGGTCTATACTCCTGTCCAGATGTTAAGTCGTACGAGGTTTTGAACAAGCAAGTATTCTGTCCAGACTCCTACGACCAACACGCAACATCTGTTTGATGCACAGTGTTGGTCTCGCATTGGACATCACCAGTACCAACATGATCGGCCAAGACACCTTTAACATTGCTCCGTGTTATGCCGGCTCTTGGGTACGCCGCTCCGACCGCAGTTCTGAGGGAGCCACTCGCAGTAATTGCACCCTACCGCTTTGGACTTAAGTACTGTCTACACAAGACGATATTGTTGGGTGACACTGGCCAGAGAGCCATCTCCTGATGTTCATTCCAAAACTGGATCCATATGCGGCAGAAGTCTACCGTCAGTGGATCTACGAGTAGACTTCCTGACGGAGACGCAACTTCTTGAGATCTATAAGTCTATGACTTTGGTCACTGTTGGTAAGAGAATTCAGGCCTCCTCTTGACTACTGGCTCATAGACCCTGCAGATGATCTCGCGGTTGCAAAAGCTAGAGCATTCGAGGGTCTACCCTTGCCTGCTGATCTTGCGAGAGGTTGGGAAGGGTATGTTGACAACTGCTTTGTTCACTAAATCTTCTATGTATCAGACTGCATAACTCTCATTGCATACCAAAACCAAGACTTCCGCGCTCTGAATTTCCATGATTCCACGTTGAGAGAATTCAAATAAAAAAATATGTTGTAGATATATCTAAAACGTGGATCAAACATGTACATAAGAAATGGGAAAGTAAATGTAAATCTGAATATGTCAAAACTGAAGGGCAGGCAAGCACCAAATCGGACTCTCTGCTTCAAGTTTGAGCATTGGGATCAATGCGCCACGTCATACAGTCGCCTACCAGTCGTCCACCTTGCTTCCGTGCCTCTGTGTTCCTGTCACATCCGTCGATGACCTTACGAAACTCGGCTTTGCATGTAGCCTCATCAACCTTCCACTCGCACCCATCGTGCACTTCTACACTGTACTTGACTTCGACGGGAACGACTTCGTCGCGAGTATCGCAGCACGAGAAGGGTGCACGGAGCTCGCCTGAGTAATACTTGGACTCGAGCTTCTTATTTTTGTTGGCTTTGCACCAGCCATCTGCGGTGCTAATCAGTTTGCCGCGGTTGGCGACTTGGCCTGAGTCGTAACACTTCACTTCATCTTTGGAGAAGTCGGGAGATTTCTTCGGTGTGACAGTTTGCTCGGGTTGTTTAGTGGTGAAGACAGTAGTCGTCGTCCTTGGGGTTGTGATGGTGGGTGTGACGAAGATAGTAGTAACGCGTGTTGTCGTTCCACCGCCAGGCGTGACTGTGATAGTGGTCGTCGAGCCCTCATCATCGCCTCCGGCCTCACCACCCGCATCAGGATCATCGGGATCGATAGCACAAGTGAGTTCGTCTTCGTCGACTTCGTCTTCCGGTTTTGGATCATCGGGGTCAGGTCCAACTGGAGTGTTTGGATCTGGCGCTCCCGTGCCGCCGGGCGATGGTGGGTTAACACCCGGTGGTAAACAAGTCAATGCAGGGAAAGAACATGGGGAGACGGTGGGCTTAGGTGGACCATTGCTGATCGTTAGACGGGGAAGGTTGATAGGGGGAGGAGGGCCCGGGCAGAGAGGCCAAGGACAGGGCGGCTTTCCACCACCGCCACCGCCGCCACCGCCGCCACCACCTGTTTCCTCCGGACCTGGAGGAGGACCGGGAGGGGGTCGGGTTGTTTTTCTTTCACCGTTATCGTAGTATGTAGCAGGAGGCCAGGTTGTCGTCGTGCTGATCTTTACAGAGGATGTGCGTAATCTGTTGTCGTTGTCCGTGCAAGAAGTGGTGCAACTTCCCTGGTTGTCGATTACGATTGTCTCTGGCTCCCAACGGCTGATTGTCAGAGGTGGGAACGTAAGAGTGGTCTTGATGCTACCACTCTCTGTAACTGTGATACGAGGGTAGTCGATAGTAGAGGTGAGCGAGGGCCAAGGGGGCAGGACAAGCGTACACGGAAAGAAGCACTGCACATTTGGATTAGGGTCGTTCCAGATATTGGGTGAGAGCCAGATAAGACTGGAAGAATTGGAGCTCTGATCATCCCCTTCACCTTCATGCAGGGGCGTACCAGGCGCAATAAGGAAGGGTTGCGTGAAAACGGTTCCCCTTGGAAGGATAGTCTCTTGTGGAAGGGGCTTATTTGCAGGAACAAAATTACCAGAGGCATCTTGGAACGACTGGTTAGGAGTAAATCCAGCAGGAAGTGGAATGTCCATAGGTGTGGGGACACCGGCTGGAATAAGGATTGGGTTAGCAACAGAGCCTCCTGTTCCGCAGCAAGTGGACGTAATTTTGCGGAAGAAGCTGCACTGGCTGCACTTGTCGGCCCCAGGTCCCTGGGGACTGTTTTGATTGCCACCGTTAGGCAAACGTGGGACGTCCGTAGAAGCTCCAGATCCAAGGGTAAAAGTCTGTCCGGCAGGAACCGTTGTGTGCGACATTGGAATGATGGTTGCCGACTCTGGAGACTTGAAGTTGTTTGGGTTGTCGAGACCAATGCCGCCACCGGTCTCATCGTCGAAGTCAATGGACCAGATCATGATACCTCCCTGTAAGATGTTGTCAGTATTATCGAATGT